TGTCTTTTATCAATGTGGTTCGTATCATAAGTATTGCTATAGCTACAGAACAGTCGCAGTTAAGGGAATAAGTCGAATTGTGTTTAAAGTTTGTTAACATAAATTGTATTATTACCGTTAAGTATTCATAAACAAGGACGCAGCTCGAAAAAGACTTAAAAAATATGACTGAATGCTTAACCAATACCCATTAAACGAAAGCTTAGATGTGTACCTAAAACTAGAAATCATAAAAAGTACTAACAATAAATGTGATCAACCAATAAAAGAATGTTTTTTTGCCTCTCCCGAAAAGTGTCGATTTTGAGTTATTCCCTTTTTCTCTGGAGGCACTGATTTCACTTGATTCTCTTTTCGTTAATTTGTACACGTACCATCAAGCGGCCTCTATATGGTGCGCCTATTTTAACGAGACCACGAGAATGTAAACATTATTTTCACTTCGTCAGCTTCTCACCCTTGTTTCCATTTACTCAAGACAGTAAAACTGCTCTAGAGTTTGGCGCCAGGATCATCGTTTACACATTCGCATCATTCCTCGTTACTCGATATTGTGTAAATGTTCTATTAAGTATATGACTGATACAAACGCGTATCTAGGTATCAGTATAAAAAATGCATATGGTTAGCGTGCAATGACACTATTCTACACAGCCAATACATTTAACAGATGATTTTACAAGCATTCTCTACACTCATTATTTAAATAGAATTTATATCTCTCGAAATGTACCCACACCGCCACACTCAGCGGATCAAAAAATTTTGAGAAAATAATAATATAGTAACGTTTATATTTAAATGAATAAGAATTAGACGTAAATTAATATCTTTTAAAATCGACTTAGCACAGCCTTACTCAACCTGTACCTTTTTTTTAGATTATACGACAAAGGAGAAACGCCTGGAAAGATTGTTGTAAAAACTTATTCAACAAATTTAAATTTTTATTGAATTGATTTTCAATTATTTTTTAAGTGAAATTACTTCACTAGTTTGTTATAATTATTAATACAAAGATCGAACACACAAAAAAATATTCTTCGATCAGGCCGGATTCGAACCAACGTCGTCTAGCAAACCGTGCCAGATGCTCTGCCAACTGGCAGAGCGCTTGACAAGTGTGGAACGAAGCAGCGGACCTCGCTTTCTATGTGCTTGTGGTCGTATTTTTGTATTTGGTTTTTCGATGAGTTTTTAGTCGTATCGTCATACGAGAAATCTATGAAATTTGGTGAAAAATTTTGGTGATTTAACTAGTGTTCCGCTAAATTTGCCGGTATGTGTAATTAGTCTGGTGTCGTATTGATTCTCAAGTTAATACTACTTTCCTCGTACGCTGTGATATCAAAACAATATTCTTTTCACAGAAAGGATTTATACAATTTTTATTGTTTTTTTTAAATTGTGCATTGTATGCTTTTAAAGCTTTTCCTAGATAATTTTATTTATCCGTGTGTATGAGGCGTAATCTTGTTTTTTTATCTTGTTCTTCAACATATATTCTGTTTGTAAATTTAAATCGTGAAACGGCGATCACGCAGCCAGCATTAAATTAAAGCTAGTGTTTGACGTATTCTCCTCGCTCTCGTGCTTCATGTCAGGCGGGTGTGCGTGATATTCGAAATATCGTATCGGATGTTTTGTCAGTTTATCAAGATATGGAGTTGCATGCTTTAGACTTAAATCTTGTATACCTATAAATAACCTGCCTTTTGCTCTTACATTTTATGACCGTACACACAACTGTGAAACCAGGCTTCCGCCAGCGCTTTCCTTTGTTGCCGCACAGAGTTGTCACGAACGATTTATTTAAATATTTTTATTTTTTACTAAAATCTGATAAATTATTAAAAGATAATAGAGACAATAAACAACTTTTATTCCTAAGGAATAAAAGTTGTTGTTTATAATGTTAGTAATATAGTCCTGTGAAGTTATTAGTATTTTTTTTATTATGTAAAGAAGTAAGCATACGAGCCACTTGATGGGAGGTGGAAGATCTTGCAGGTTCGAGGAACAAACGAGATGCCCGCGTGGTCTTACAAGACGTGTAGAACACACACATGAGCCAACGTCTCTCCGTAGGCTAAGGGGCCCAATACCGTCTGTGAGTTTGGGATCATTGTCAATACGAACTCCCATACGTTGGATGGAGTCAAGTGGGTCAAGCTGGTATTTGGCTTTGTATAATTAACTTTTCGTTATCGAGTTCTTAGGTTTTCGCGATTGTTACACATAGGAAATGAAATTGTTTTTTCGGATTTAAATCGCGTATATTTGTTTTTTCAAACAAACCGACATTTCGGGCTCTTTACAGGTCCCATGGTCACGGTTGACTGTAAAGGCCCCGAAACGTAACTTACGTTAATTATGTAGTAGTAGTTGTCGGCTGTAACGTACTGAATTGCGCCCACGGGCCTTTTCTTAAATGGAATTTTTCTAATTTATTTGCACTATAATTCTCTTATATGTTAAGATGAAGCAAAAAGTTTTAACGTTCGAAAAAGTTTGATTATTTAATATAAGCTTGAGGGATAGAAAAAACTAAACATTTGCTAAAATAAATTTATAAATTCAATTTCTGCAGCATTCTTAGTAGTTTGAAATTATTTATTTTATATCTTGACCATCATGGCTGTGTGCGTTTTGCCTTTTACAACATTTTAGTGCGAGTTGTATTATCTATGGTAGAATAGCCGGACATCTGTTTATTTAAAAAAAAACACCCGCCATTTGCAAAATCTGTAATTGTTGTGTTCTGAAGCGATATTTATTCATACAAAAAATAAATTATCATTATATTCTTAGAATAATAACGCATAGAAATCTAGTTCGCACACGGTAAGTGAGGCAAATTGAAGCGCTCCCAATGGGCCTACACGAGCGGGCGGGCCGTCAGTGCTCAAGGTCAACTTGCGCCGCGAACAGCTCAAGAATTTTAGCTAAAAATGACGAAATGTGCGGTAAATGAGTGTAAAAATACGTCAGACAAACATAAAATAGATACTAACATCACATTCCACAAGGAAGCAACGCGTTTAAACTTGTATTTTTATATAAATATTCACTAAAACCGAAAATTAACCTTCTACTAAAACTAGCTACATGAATTTGATTTTTGCCTCACTTGAGACAGTTCGTTTGATATGAAACTATCATTCTATGCGTCATTATTCTAAGATTATATTTATGTCCTCGCAAATGTGATGTAATGTGAAAAACATATGTAACACGGGCGGTAAAAAATTCCAACCTCAAGTCATTGAATATCGTTAGTAATTTCTTATTTATTGCTCTCATTACACAATGTACTATAGTTTCTGTGTTGTTCAAAGAATTTGGAAAGACTGAAACAAATGAATGATTAAAAGAATTTAACGTAAACTAAATTTTAACTTTATATAAAGAAACTGTTATAATAAAAATATGTGTTTTGATTGACCTCACGGAATTAAACGACGAAATCATCACTTTGTGAGGCGATAAAGAAACGAAATAGTTTTCAACGGTTCACCGGCCCTATATAGCCACTTGGAGATAGCTATAATACCGTGCGCCATAACCTCCTATCCGCGAGATAAAATTTGCACCACGTGGCACACAGCGCGTAGGTCGTGATAAAAAGATATTTCTCGAGAAGTAACTTTACGACGCAGTATCATTCGATTCTATATTTAGCTAGCTCTCGCCTGTGACACCGACCGCATGGAAGTTGGAGAAATTAGAAAATTACACCATGTGACGGGTTAAACAAGTCGTAGCATGGTGGTAAGCTACACGCCTGTCCATAACAATTGCAGTGCCACTGAGTACTTGTACTCAATAGTTTATTTATTTATATAATATAATATTCATAATAACAATCAACAATCAATCGTTACGAAACGTTGTCCCTGCACAGAAAAATTAGTAGCAGAAGGGCTCCCAGTGAAAGAGTTCGTCCAGTGTATTACTGCCTTACCTATTTCTGCCGCCAAGCAGTAATGCCAACATTAGTGTGAAGGGTAAGGGTGCTGGTGAAATTATAGGCACATGGGACTAATCAAATTATGTCTCAGGGTGATGGGGATTTAAAACTAGGCCCTTAGGCGCACGATTTCTTCGGCCCGTCACTATATATTATAAAAAAAAAACTCTGTCCTAGGTACTGTAAAAGGGCGTAGTTGTGAGATTGCGTAGCGAGAGGCACTTTTTAAAGATAAGCGAGGATTATATTCATAAATAAAACTTTATTACGTGTATTCAATTTGAAAGCTTTGTCCAGAACTACTAGATGTCCATTTGACAACAACCTTCTATTATTTATACAATTCTAAATATAAACTGATTCAGCCCACTACAGTGCTTAAACGAAGAGACACGATTTAAGGGTTCACCATTTAGGAGAAGGCGGTGGAATATTACTTAGGCCTTTATATTCAAACACAAGAAACTCGCTCTACTTTTCATAGTAGGTACCTTAGTCAATGCCTTTTTTTTTTTTTTTTAACGGTGGGGAATCCTTTATGGATACCCCCGAGCCCGGGCGGCTCGGAGGTTATGTGGGAGTCCCGGCAACGGCATAAGTGTCGCATACATTCAGCACATTGGATGTATTTTTTCTTCAATAGTTAAATTTTATTATAACTTTACTGTGGCCATTTTGATACTCGTTACCTTCCAATTGATATTGTAAAAGAAAGCGCGATTTTTTTTATTTATAGGCTTATACCATAGATAGATATACGAAAAAAGGGCTTAGACAGCACTAAGTACCACTAACAAATTTATTATTCAGGTGAAGACACAAATATTTGTGTACAATACAAACAACATCATCTCGGTACTTCGCTTAGAATGGATCACGACCTGTGGCCATTAACTAACGCCTTTTAAATTATTATCATCAGTTAATTGCTGTTTACTTCTCACAGTCAAAACTCTTTATATCATTATACCGTAGCCTAATCCGTTCTTGGAATAGCCTTTATTTAAAATGATGTTTTCCTTCTTTGCAGTTATCGGAGAAATATGCCATCTTCGTTATCAGTCGGCGAGAGCTTAACGGCGCACTACGTCGGTTTTTGAAGCGTCCGATACTTGGGTGACACAATATAATCCGTCGCACATGTCAAACAATATTAGTTGGTGTCGCGACTCACTGCTTTCGATTCGAAGTCCGACAGCGAGCGTCTCTCCGCTTCTCAATACGACAGTTCCATTGTTCTTCCATCTTTGAATTTAAATTTAGACATCAATTTTCATCGCGTTTAGACGCGGTAATAATCCAGTGTGGTAGTGGACTGTTTAGTTAACAAATAAAATAAAATGGCGAGTACCGGTAGTGAGATCTGGCTCCAGTGGTTCGCATGCTGCTACCAACCTCAAGTGCAAGCTCAGCGCACGCGGCGGAGAATAGACCGCTCGATGATCGGAGCACCAACCAACTTCCAACATACAGGACACATAGGTAAATATCATCGTCTTCATTATTTACAGCAATTTTGATCATGCTTTTATGTTTTTAAAATTGAAATAATAATTTCCTCAAAGGGCAAGGTGCCATAGACTATAGCAGTCGCTACTTAATCTCATACGTGAGACGGTTTCCATCATATCCATGCGTGTGTCAACCTCCATGTCGCTTTAGGCCGCTGTAAGGTTTTGTTTAGTCGAAAAAAACCCTTTAAAAGTAATCAATTAACAATTATTTCATTGCTACAAGTTGTTTATTGTGTGAGTTTTGACGTCAAACAAAATTGTTTTTATCAGTTAAAACATTACAAATATTAGCCTTGAAACTAAAACGTTTAAATTCTCTTTTAATTGATTAGTTAAGTAAGGTTGCATGTGGTACATGTGTTCAAGAAAACATTCGATAATTCAAATGCAGAATGTCACGTAATAACCGAACCGAATATTAACCTTAACGTAAAGGCTTAAGGTAAACTATTAATTGTAATAGCGAACTGATAAGCAAGACAATTATAAGGTCAAATGGTACGCAACAAAGAAATAGATTAACAACTAATAATATAAAAAATAATAATCGACTTCCATAAAACTCGAATAGCTACTGAAGTTTGGATCTTAGAAAACAGTCTTGTACGTGATGTCGATACTTATACAACGGTGACGTCAAAAGCAGAATTATTCAAAAACAAAATAAATTGATCGTTTTGGCCTGGCGATGGCTCCTCGCTGGAGCCTTTATCTACGATGCCACGAAATTTCACCAGACGATCTGTTACTGAAAGTTTCGACGCGAAAGATTTGAGATGTAAAAATAAAATATGGTCCAAAAAAATTGTCAACCTCTGTGTGTGAATGTAATCTAAGGGCGCCTTCAAATTAGACGCTTATAGAAGCGCTGCAGTGGCGCCATTGTGGCGCTGCAATCAGCCGCGCCACTAACAATTTGCATACAACATTTAGAAGCGCAGTTGCAGCGCCACTGGCATGACACGCGCGCGCTACGTCAGTCACAATTAAGCGTGAAATACACAGAGAACGAGTGCGGGTCGGCCGCGTGTCGCGTTGAGGGTGTATTATGGACGATAAAACACCAGGAGGGCGTCACGCGTCCGACCCCCACTCGCTGTCAGTATGTTTTACGCTTTAATGAACTAAAAATTACTGAAGCGCTACAGAAGCGCGGTTGCCGCGCTTCTACTAGCGTCTAATTTGAAGGCGCCCCAAGACCCAAAAAAGGTATCACATCGTCAAAATCGTTTTTAAGGAACAATCGCCAACTCAACTCAAATAACATAGCCATACATAAGAGCGGTTAACAGCGATGCAGCCGCTAATCGTCTACACACGCGCGCGATTTTAAGTAGCGCTGCAAGCGCGCGACTGCTTCGTCGCACGTTTGCATCGATGCAATCTTGCGTTCCACAAACGCGCGTTTGCATCTCTGCTAAATGTCACCGTGTGTAAACACTCTAACATAGCAATAACATAGCATTCAAAATAAATACTTATAAATACTTGTAACTGCATTGCCGTATCCACGTATCTACGTAAAGATAGTAATAGCCAGTTTTTAAAGATACAAAAAAATTCATGTCAATACCACAGCAACAGACATAACATTGATTGGCGTGATGTTCGGCGAAGTGCCCACCGTCGAATTTCGAGATCTATCGGGCACTCGAGGCCAATCTTTGACATACTCGAGAATTGTATCGAGTACTGTCAATCGATGTTATCGGTTGACCTTCCAGAGCCAACGGTGAACGACCTACGCAGGATAAGTAAGCCCCTGCATACTAACACAATCGTTAGTACATACATTGAAATTTAACATGATCTTTTGGGGATTTAACATGATTTCCTTTGCTTTACGTAGATAAATAAATAATAAATAAACGTTAGACGACGTCACATACGTTGCTCTGGTCTCAAGCAGCTAAAGCACGTGTTATGGAAATCGGCAAACAACGACGGTACCACATACATCCAGACCCGAAGCGATAATAGAATTTGTATTAACAAGTATAACAAACTAGTGGAGTAATTTCACATAAAAAATAATTGAATATCAATTCAATATACATTTAAATACAATGATTAGCTACATCTCTAGCCGGGGCCGGTAGCTGTAAAGGTATCTAACTAGGTGACGAAATATTTCATACATTTCTTATAAATAGTCTACGACTAAAAAGTCGTTGAAAAACAATTACAAAGACACGACAACAAGCACATAGAAAAATTCGTGATGCCCGCTGGTTCGTTCCGTGGCTTAGCTGGTATAGCGTCTGGCACGGTATGCTAGAAGACGTCGGTTCGACTAAGGCCGGATCGAACGAATTTTTTCTGAGTGTTCGATCTTTGCATTCATAATTATAACAAACTAGTGGAGTAATTTCACATAAAATAATTGAATATCAATTCAATAAAAATATAAATAATAGAAAAGTTAGCTTTTCTGCACTGACCCGGCCGGGGATCGAACTCGGGCCATCAGAGATGGCGACATCATGAAAACCGGTCTGCAAACCACTTGACTACGGAGGCCGTAAAACATTACATTTTACTATTTACCCTTACGCGAGCCTCCATGACATATCTATAAAATATAACAATGGTTCCCTAGGAATTGAATGTAACAGATGCCATGCCCATTGCATTTTTCTTATAAATTTCCATTAGTGAAATTACAGGCACATGGAACTTGTCAACTTAAGTCTCAGAATGACGGGCGCAATGGCATTGCCTCTCCGATCTTTGCTATTTAAAACTCTGAGTGTCACTGCAACTGTTGTGGACAGCCGTGTTGGTTACCACGTGGTACCACCAGACACGCGACTCTTTCGTCCTGTCACTTGGTCTCACAAAAAAAGGCAGACATCTTGTTTTCTTTTGGTGATAAATATTTTACCATTATACGTTTAGAACTTGAAAATATACATAGTAATCGATTACTTGAGAAAAAGTTTAAAATCATAAGAAACATTTTAACTTATAACAATAATGACCTTACATAAACTGAAGTCAACGTTTAACCTAGTTTTTAACCGTTACCTTTAATCCTTATATGGATATAAATTTTACCGCTACGTTACTCAATAGCTTAAAAATTACGCCCACCATTATTCTAAAAACATATGGCGACGAAAAATAATTGCTGTTCTCAAAACAAACTCGCGGATGTGATATTTAGTTTAGAAAACGGTAATGATTTTCTACTGTCTCAAGTTGTTTTGGCATCGCCAAGGATTGTAAATAAAAATTAGCTCCATATTAGTGGTGCAGAACGTAGAATAAAACAATATCGTCACTTTAAAAAAAATTCAATTACATACTGCATTGTCACAATAAAACTGCTGAACTCGTTAATATGCTGCTAAACACGTGTGTTCCAAATTCGGTCCTGTACAAACGGAGACAGTATTCCATAAAAGGCGAGCAGATGTATTCTATTCTTTTTACTCACACACGCTTGCCCAATGATATTATCGCTCGCCTGTCTCCCATTCGGGTAGGAAAAAGTACTATAATACTGGCATAATTATTTTATTTTACTATGTGCAGAAATGAACCAGTCGTGCGCCTGATGGTAAGCGACACGACTGTTCATGGCTGTTGCAGTTTCAATCGCAAAAATCTGAAGGGCACTGCCACAGCACCCGTCATCCTGACACATAAGTTGACAAGTCCCATATGCCTGTAGCTTCACCAGCACCCTTACCCTTGAAAAGTTAAACGCAATAATGCTTATACATATTACTGCTCGGCGGCGGAAATAGGTAAGGTGGCATTACATCCCTGGACGAACGTTTTCACAAAGAGCTCTAATGGCATCAGTCTTTGTTAATACACGCTCGTTCATTCTTTTTACTTTAGATAAGCTCTGTTGAGATATGTACGCCAAGTACCGCGTCCCTTTATTGCCATACCACAAAATGTCATAAAACATTTTTATTGATAAAATGTTTGGAAACGTTGTTCATTTACTTAAATTGTCGTGTTTAATATTTGCTACCAAATAATAGAGAATAACTACTTATCTGTTGTCGATTAATTCATGACTATTGCTTATTATAGATAATTATTGCATTACAAAGTGATGAACTGATTACAAAATGAAAGAAAAACATGTTTAAAATAACCATGTAATTTGTGAATCAACAAAAAACAGATTGCTAAACTCGATTACGATATTTTCGCCAACTCAAGCCATATTCCAAGCTGGTTGCCTATTGCCTATTAATCCATTTCAATATTCTGGGTCAATTCGCTAAACGCGTTATAAACCAAAGTGGAACTTAATATCAGTTTCACTAAATTTAATTTATGTTGCCCAGTTAACAAACAAACGTGAAAGTCGTTATTTGTAGATGTATCTACATAAAAATTAATTTTAGGAAACAAAAGTAAGGTCGATAACTAAGAAAAATGCCTTCGATTCGTCTGGATTTAAACCAGCTCTTCTAGCAAACCGTGCTAGAAAACTAAGCCACGGCACGAACCAATGGACTTTACAATTATTTCTGTTTTTGGTTTTTAACGACCTTTTTGCCGTACCGCCGCGCCATCGCCATTTGTAAATCGCATCCTGCCGGATCAAAGGAATTTTAGTTGGTGTTCGATTTTCGTATTAATTAATTAGAATCTAACATTAGTAGCAGTAGAGCTCCTTGTGAAAGAGTTCCTCCAAGGTAGTACTGCCACCGTATCCATTTCCACCGCCAAGCAGTAATGTCAGCATTACTGTGCTCCGGTGTAGAAGGGTGCACATTTTCATTAAAAAGGTAGGTACGCAAAAAAAAATAGTTGAATAATTTTCATGAATCGTGTAAAATACTGTGAAATATCAAGCATTTTTACTTGCGAAGCCGAGGTACACGATAGAATTATGTGTAACTTCGATTGATATAAGCAAAAGCAAAAATTCTTAAATATCAGTCAAGTTTTAATTAATGACAATTCAACAAAGAGCGCGTTTTAAACTTACAGAGACGT